TTTCGGTAAGCGACTTTCATCAGGAAATAATTTATTCAGAAAACGACTCAAATTATCAAGAGATTTTTCAACATTTGCATCACATGAAATTTGGTATTTTTCATATAAATCAACTATGCTATTTTCAAAATCAACACTTTCCTTCAAGCGCAATGAATGAAGATAGCTGATCAACAACTGTATGCTTAGGTTTCGTATGATTTCGCGGGAATTTTGATCCTTGATCGAATACCACCTCCTAATAAATTGACTTTTGACTGAATTTTTCTCATCCGATGACGAAAGCAGAATGATCATGATCATGACTTGACGATTTGAAAAGAACATTAATAGTCGTTTTTTCCTATATTCTTTCAGGGCATTAATCCATGTTTGGTAGTCGGATTCTAATTTTTTGAAGATTTTATCAATTCTTCTTCTTCGTGATTGGGCAGCTTTGAGTAATTTCTCTTTATATTCATCTTGATCATCTCTAACTTTGAACAATATTTCTTCCATGTTCTCTATTTAAGGAGGAAAGAAAATTTATCGATTATATACAAATTACTCATCGACGCTGAAAAGCTCGAACTATGGAGATATGTGTGATCACTGGTTTCATTTCTTAGAGTAACTGTCAACTGCTTTATTAAAATCTGATCATTCAGCTTGCCTACTATTGAAACGATACACGACAGATATAACTCGAGATGTTTAAAAATTGTATTACGTCATTCAGATTGCTGTTCTAGTACGAAGATGCCATTAAGGTTGACTTGTGTATGAATGATATGGGTGTTCTGGGAAATAATGCACTGTCTTCGTTATGTCCATGCAGCATATCAATGAAACTTCTGTGTACTTCTTTATCAAGTTACAATCAAAACCAGCTATTATAAAATCAATGCATATTGAAGAAAGAGATGATCAATCTTTGCATTTTTTTTAATAGAGTGCTACTTGATATTCTCCTGATTCTAAAACATGGTAAAGAACTATCTTTCTCGTGTTTGTTATACGTTTAATAAATTTAACTTCAAAAATCTTCACGCTTATTGTTTAGAACAGAATTGTGTAGATTGAACATATTACTGTTAGTTGACGACCGCTTACAGAAATATGTTAGTATAGTATTATTACAATCAAAAAGCCTTATCAACATGTTTCATCACACTCACTTGCTCGGTAATTGATTTTGATGTGTTTATCCATCAGTTGATAAGCTGGATGACCATCCATTACTAACTTAGTGAGTAATGAAAATATTTCATCGATCCGTTTTAACAATGTCAATTGTTCATCAAGCAGATTTCTTTTGTCAATCATATCTTCATCTAGATCTACTTTGCAAAATGTTAATTGACGTTTGTGATCGTCAATATCCGCCTTTGATAATGTAAATTTGAGATTATCCTTATCTAATTGTGCTTCGTTTTCATCGTTATCACTCTCTTCATCTGAATTATCTTCATTATTATGAGCGTCTTCTTGCCTGGCATCGTCGTAATCACTATTCTTGTCTGATTCACTATCACTTGAGTAGCTCTCTTGCTTTTCATATTTACGATTATCAGGTCGATGAGTGACCATTCCTTGATTTTTACTAATCAAGTAGTCAATTTCAAGATTAGCTGGTTCATTCAAGAGATGCCGTAAATGGATATGCACCATACCACATTTATACAAATGTTCCATCGTAATAAGCGCATTATCAAAAACACTGGTTTCTTCTACTGATAACCATAAGTTAATAATCTGGATATTGTCTCTGACAACTAAAAATAAAAGTAAATTAATGACGTTTAGTATTAACTAATTGTAATACGATTTTTAAAACCTAAAGAAAATATTTTAGTGTATTTCATATATAAAGAAGTTGATCATCGATCCACTTGTATTTTGTAAACACCATAGAAGTCCACTCAGCTGGGAACCTACTGATAGGCCATCGAAATTTTTCAAGAGATATGAAGACTCTCTACCAAAGTTAGCCTAGTGTAGAGCTGTTCGCCTAAATTCATAAAGTTTCTTTTCTGTCTTATTTCTATACAACATCTTCAAGTCCGAATATTGCACAAAATTGTAAGCTTCTTCAATGTTTTATAATGCGAACTTCTCATATCAGTACCTTGCCGATATTTCAAAAGTAATTGTATTCTAGCTTCGCTAAGAATACTTATGGTGTGTAAAATAAGGATGAACTCAATCTTAACAGGCATGCTCAATATGTCTTTGTGCTCGCTGTAAACTTTCTATAAGTGTTTTTCTTACGCTCGTATCCGCAAAATGCTTTCGATAGAACGATATCAAGTTGAATATATAGAATGAAATTGTTATGATCAATAGCATTCTACTGAGAGAGTCACTTTTCAAATGAAGAAGTTCATAATTGCATCGTCCAGTTCAACTTTTCATGTAATGGTAAAACTCTCAATATTATGTCTATTATCAAAATGGTTTGATAAACAGTAGAAGTACAGATCCTTATAACTTATGAAATTAAAATGATCGAAAGACTTGGAATGATTACTGAACTCAGTTTTACTGAAAACCGGTCTGATTTGGAAGATCTTTTTCAGTTTCAGTCTGACCAAAATATAGCTCATTAGTATATGGCTGGCAGTTCTGACCAAAATTAGTGCATCACTAATAATGTCAGAGTCGGGGGAATCAAACTCATGACTAGTACTTGAGTTGCAATTCGGGCTGCTTTCGACTTGAATTTGACTTCAAAATTGAAACTCGTTGACTAATAATATATGTGGTAATTTCACGCCAGCTTCGAGACACTACTACTATACTTGAATAAGTTACACGATTCCGCTACAAAACAACAGCGATTATTTTTGATCTATTTCATGCATTTTTCTCGCATATGCATCGGAGATAATCAGAATCCTATCAAAATGCCTGATACGTGATTCTTCGGTATAGAAAAAGGAGTTTATATCAGTGCAACGTAAGAAAAGATCTTTCTAGAAGCCAATAGTCTCTTATTATATCATTATTTACCGCTCAGGTTCCCTGTTCACAAAGTGTTCTTTATGTTTGAAATTTATTGAAATATCTGACAGTGTTTCTCTGAACATGAAACTTTAGATTATTGCACTATAATAATAAGAATGCTTTTCCCATATTTGTATCAGTTTGTTCCTATACTTTATTGCATAAGTTTCCGCAGATATACGGATATTTGAAAAAGCACAAAAATACATTTACCTTTCATGTGATCGAAAGAGCTTTGTTCGAATTTAGGCAGTTTAGCGAGATTATCAAGGAATTCTTCGAATGTATCCACTTGCTCAACAAACGGTTTACACAATGGAACGGTAACAATCAACGAGTTGAGTATGTTATTATTTCTCTCTTGAAATTGAAATTGTGTCGTCAGATGATCTCGAAATTCTTGAAATCGACGCTGTCCATTATTTGAATAAAAGTCGAATTGTTTCATTTTCTGAACAACAATTGGATGGTCGACAGCCACTCTAATTAATTGTAAAAGTTGTGCGTGCCGAGATTTGCACTTATCTTTGAAAATTTTGTACGCATCTGATATTTCTCGAATAGTGCACGATTTATTACTTTCGAGCTGTTTTAATTTTTGAAACGTGTTAGCGGCATCAGAAATTTCAATCTGGGGGGGGCCAGTACCCAGTTGCTCAGCCTTGGCGCCACCACTAAGCGTGTCACTTTTGATTATTTCAAAATTTTTAATGCAATTAATGATAATACTTATACAGCTGTAATATTGATAACTTTGTAGCATTTCACAAACTCGTTCGATTTTTTGCTTAATGTCTGTATCTGCATCTGCTGCTCCATGTCGCTCTCGTTTGGTAAGTGATGCACCAATCCGTTGATTAGTATATAACTTCATCAGTTCATCTTGAAAGGAGATATTGTTGCCACGAAAGACATCTTTGAGTTCATCCATTTCTTGTAAACTTATATTTCCTTTCAAGAGATTATCTATCAGTGGAAATACGTGCATAGCGAGTAATTCGTTCACCAGTTCTTCACTCATTGCTTGAGCTTCATTACGTTGCTTTTCGTAGAAGAATTTGAATATTCCATTGAACAAATTAAATTTTGGCAGGAGGGAGATTTGCTTAATTCGAAACCAAATGGTACGTGGCGCTTGTCCACTATTTCTAACTTGTATATTTAGGTCACCATCGTGCTGAATCTCAAATTCACCCGACAAAACGTGTTTTTCCACATGAACATTTTCTCCCTCGAATAGTATTTCTTCTTGATTGCATGACGATTTCTTTTTATGTGAAATATGAAGATTGCATTCATGACAATCACTTGCAATAGACCAATAAACATGTTGACGACTGTTTAGCGGAATTGTTTTTGTAAAAGTCTTGTGTTTTTCAACGGTAAATGTATTATTAGGTTGTAATCGTTTCAATTCTTGTATATATTTTTTCGCATTACTTTTATCATCCAGCGTACCGCTCACAATGATTTGAAAAGACTCTGATTGATTTAATAAATCATAAAGTCGTGCAATATTATTTTCGAGCGGTTCCAGTATTTTCAATCCTTTTGCTGCTACCTCTCTGTGTTCTTTTAGAGTTATTGTTGGACTTGTTCTTATATTATGCATAGTCTGTGACAAATCAATAGCATTTTCGACGCCACGTTCACCTAGCCATTTGATAACATACTCGAAAATATCGAAAAATAAATCAAACCATTTAATCCATTCGTTAACTTCTTTAATAAAACGTTGAAAATCTTCTACGCTAACTTTCGTTTTTAAGCGGGATAGATTGTTCGGCTTTTGGATGCGCATAAATGATTCTACGTTCGGTAGGCCTGTTGGAAACCTGTATATATCGCATGTTGACGTTGGTGATACATTATCCAAATCAAAAGTGCGAATGTAGTAAGAAATATTCGACGAAGATAGGAGTGCACAATAGTCAGAACGTGTACCTGTTAGTCGAAAAATAAAAAAATAGTTTACTTTGAGTATATGTTTTGACCTATATGTTGCAAACACGATCATTATTTAGTGTCATGTCTGTGTGTAAACAATTATCTAACTATTCAGTTCTATTATTGAGAGTAATCATCTGTTTTGTGAGATTATGTATTGCGCATTATTCATCAGTGCGCCATATATAAAAAAAAACTTAAACACTCAAAAGATCTTCTCATAAGATAGTATTATTCACAAGAATGTAATCTGCTAGATGTTGATCATATCTAGAAGATACTTACAGGATTTGCAACCAAATCAAACTTAACACTAATTATAGTATATTTATGTCATTATCGATCCATATTGCAATGATTGAACAAACAGAACTTTAAAAAGTGTAGTAAAAGATTTCCGAACAAGTCTGCCGTTTAAGAATATGATATACGCCGTGTTACCGAAATAAGAAAACGCAGTCGATAGTTTACATCGATTTTGAGTCTACTAACCAATTTGCCAATCCTTTTGACCTATTAATAGCTAGGCTTAAGACAGCTCACAGCTCAAAGGACCGAATCTTTGGTAGGAACAGTTTGCTGTCAACAGTTCTTTTTCCAGGAACTGTATTCAACCAACAGTTCACTTCGAGGAACTACACTAAAAAAAACTAGCTTTCTTATGAAACTCTCAAAAAAGGTTCCGTAAATTTTCAAAATATAAATGAGTCAAAATGCTCAAAAAGGAATTGTTCGGTAAATTTTAAGATTTCTTTTCAGAGGGTTGTGACTGATTTTTGAATATTTTTAAAAACCATGGATCCATTTCTAGGTCCCATGTCAATCAAAACGGAACTCCGTTACGGTCCGTTTACTTGACGCAGTATTATGGATCCTATTTCTGTCGTAAAATATCCGTACATAGTTATATTTTTCCCGTAAACGATTCCGTATCACTGTGTTCAGTAAAGACGTCGAGTGTGAACCGTATACTGTGACAATACGCCTAAGTTACGGATCTTTTACGACGGAAATACAATCCGTAATAGTGCGTCAAGCAAACAGACCATATTGTTCGACCTGGGTGTTTCGCAAAAAAATATTCTTTTAGATTGTACACAGACAGATCAGTTCTTCTCAAAAGAACCATGTCTGCAGCTCAGCTCCTACGAACTAAACTTAACAAGGTTTGACAAGCAAATTCGTGATTTAAGAGAT